CAACCAGGGTCACTTTTAATGCTGCTGCTCATGTCAAGCCTGTTCTTGTGGGAGACTGTGGCCTCCCAGTCTAACTACAGCGATGGGATTGGTCTCTATCCCAGAACGATGCTGTCTACCCCAAAATTGGTTGATCATGCGGTAATTCTGTCCAACTACATCCACATCCTCGCTTCACAGCTCTATATGCAGTTTGTAAGTACCTCTCTTTTCCTTTCTTCTTAAAGGGAGCCATTTCAATAATGATGGATTAACAGTAAAATTTAAACATGAACACCCTCATCACTCATATTTCAAATAGTATTGCTTTTCTGTCTTTTGGATAAGATTAAATGTAGTATCAAATTTAAAATACTACTGATAAGGGAATGAAAGAAAACCTGGAACCAATAAAATGTGGCACAGTATCGAGGAAGGAAACGTTTATGAATTCTATGTCAAAAATTAGATGATTCTGGGGCTGGGGATTTAGCTCAGCAGCAAAAGCGCCTGCCTGGCAAGCGCAAGGTCGTCAGTTCGGTTTCCGGTACTGGAAAAAAAAAAAAAAAAAAAACAAAAACAAAAAAAAAATTAGATGACTCTGAAAGAAAACTTTCCTCGGCTCACTTTATTTTTAAATACGGAGATTGCTGAGGTAAATAATGCTCAGTTGGGGCTGAGGAAGAGTGCTGGATTCCTCCTCCTCCCTACAGTGCCAGTCCACGGCATTCTTCACTGGACCACTGCAGATGTCCAAACAACAGGGAGAGCTGAGCAGTGGACTAGGTAGATTAAACAGATGTAAGTAAACTCTTTTCTTGTCAGAGAGAAAGGAATCTGAAATAATAACTCTTCAGAGACACAATACTGAAGGAAGGACTGATGCAAGATGTCCAGTGTAGGAGATCACAGAAGGGGTGGTTTAGCAGTGGAGCCTGGTTCTTTCTTCCAGATAAAGTCTATTTCACAGTGTGAAGTATCTCTTACAGGTGAGCAGAGCAGTGGACAGTGGGTTAGGGCTGACTGTACAAGGGGACTGTGCAGAGAACTAGCCCGTGTTTGTGATACAAACGCATTCCACAGTTTATTTATGCATGTGTGTTTTCTCATTTTGCATTTTCAGCTTGCCCTGAGTTTTCCTCAAAATCTTCTTAACATTCAGCTTTCATAAGGGCTGGGGATTTAGCTCAGTCCACAGCATCTGC